GAGAGAAGCATCCTGGGGAGGTTTCTGATTGGTGTCCACAAAGCCAGATGCTCACTCATGAACCAATCGCCTGCTTCACTGGAACTGGGCTACATAAGTGCCTCATCCCTGGGACCACACACATGGACAGGCTGTCATTACTGGCCAGCTTTCCCAAAGAGAAGTCCAGCCTTGTCACCCCAGAGAACCAAAAGTGATCACATGACCTCACCATTCTCTTCTCCCTCCTGTGTTGTGTGATCATCCAGTTAACTAATCTGGAAGTTTATGGTCCTCCCACCATTTATGCCATTGGAGGGTCATCTGAAGGCTACTATTCACCAAAACAGCTGGGTGAAAGTATTCCTGACAAATCCCTCAAAATCCTTGAAAGTTTAAAGTGAGAAACTGGGATGGCAAAGTCTTGGGGATGTGTCAAGATCTGCCAAGTTTTCGGCGAGTTAAACTACTACAAGCTTAGACACTTTTAGAAGCCACATTGTTGAGGACAAAACAAAAATCTGAGGAGCAAACTGAAGCCTAGAAAAAAAATAAATTATTTATTTAGGGTAATTTTATCTAGTGAGTGATGAGATTGAGCCCAGAGCACATTGTATAATCCGTAAAGGGTCTTTGGGATCTAAGCTATAACCTGTAGGTAGAGAAGAGAACACTTGTGGTTTGTTCAACACTGAGTATCTGTGCAGTTGAAGTTGATAAAACTATCTTTCCATTGTTCTTCAAGCAGATAGCATCCTAATTATATGGACTGTGCATATACATGGAACATCTTCAAATATAGTACATATGTGTCTTCACTCCTTCTCTTTCTGCTCTTAAAAAAAAAAATGCCCCTTAAAAATTCCCACTCACCATCTGTTAGGTAAATTTCCTAAAACACAGTGAGGCTGGAGGCAGAGCCTGTTACACAGATTATTCCAAAGGGTGATGGCACCTATATTTATGCCATTTGAAAAAGAGTAGGTTACAGTTGCTTCAAAAAAAAAAAAAAAAAAAAACCTCTACTATAATAATACCACATTTCCCTAGGAACCAAGTTCTATTCTATTATGAGGGAGGGGGGATATAAGCACTCATGTATAAAATACTATTTCAAAAGCTTACTTCATAGTTTCCATGCGTGCAAGGAAAACACTGACAAATTTACAAATGTGTTTTATTTGTCCACAAGCTCAAGTGTACATTCTGTTCTAGTCAAGGGGCTTTTTCTTTTTTACCCAATCTGTGTTACTTTGGGGAGAAAAGAAAGACTTCCAACAGATGCCATTCAGTTCCCAGACTATGGCCTGGACAATGTCACTCCCTGTGCAATATTGCTCATTCACAATCGCGGTGCAGCAAACGTAATTTATACTCTCAGAGTGTTGGTTCCCGTGTCAGTAACAGAGAAGTCTTGAGCAAGAGCATTCCCCTTTCCTTCTCCCTCTAACATCGCTTCCTTATACCCAGAATATAGTGGTCAGGGGAGATTTAGCCTTCAGTTAGCATGTTATATAACTGCTTCACTTTAAGCCATCCCCATTCAGTAATTATTTTTTTTAAAAAATATGTTGCTCATAGTCAATATTAATTTAGTTTAATCTTTCTTAGCATTAGGAGAGCATTATTTTTGCTCTGGCTCAGAAGTAAATCTCCAGAACTTCCTCCCTGATGCTTCTTTGGGGCTGAAAAAATGCACTGCAGGTCAGTTGCAGTGATTTAATTCCAGTTGGTAGAGCCCTGGACACACGCTAATTTCATTACCCTCAAATTCCTGGATCTGAAAGACCCCACTGGAGATGATTCCTGTTGTCAGTCTTGTCATTTAGTAAGCTATTCAGCAGGGGATACAGAGACTAGAGCTAGGAAGGACTTCCTCAGTTCCTGCCTCTGACCCGGAGCACCAAAAGAGAATTCCAAGTCAAAGATACTATTCACATCTCAGTACTCATCTTCACCCAAGTCCTCCTTTTCGGGAAGGAACTTCATCCCTGGGCTGGGCTCTGCGGGCAGCAGCCACAGCAATCTTAACATCTATTATTCTCTCATTACTTCCTGGGGCCCCCTCTAGCAATCAGCAACCCCCATGGAGTCCCTCCTTCTTGCCAGAGGCTCATCTGAAACCATACATTTATATCTCAGATGATCAGTTTGGCATGGTCCGCCACAGCCACCAGCCGCAGCCTGAGGGGAAAGGGAAAAAAATCACTGTAAAGCCTGCAACCCAACCATTTGACAGACTTTATTTTATATAGGACAATTTTAATTGAGCTGAACCTTGGAATCCTAGATGGGATTTACCAGTTATCTTCTTTCCCTCCCCCCCCCCCCCACCCCTCCATTCCATTGAACGCACCTATTCACAACGGGTTGGTGGAGTGTTATTCTCTCCTGCAGGTTGACAGAAACTGGAAAACTAGGGATTGGAGCTCCTAAAATCACAGGCAAAACAAAAAGCCACTGTATCTCTCTGTCTCTCTCTGTCTCATTCTCTCTCTCTCTCTCTCTCTCTCTCTCTCACACACACACACACACACACACACACACACACACACACACACACACACACACTTCTACATGAGCAATGGTTAACCAGGATAGCACACCAACCATTTATCAGCAGCTTGCAGCACAAGCTACAAGTTGGTGCATTTATACTACTTCCAGCCTCCTCTCCACAAATGCAGCTGAAAACTGAGGGCCCTCAGTTCCCCTTCAATCCCACAGGAATAGCTGCAATTTGCAAATGAGAGGAAAATGACAGTGTTTTTTCTCGCAATGGTTTTAGTCCAAATCCACCCTGCTCACTCACATTGGCATTCTGCTCTTCCTTTCCTCTCTAGCTCAGGGAACGAGTGTAAGATCAGCCATTTGTTTCCTTGTAAGTTGACTGAGATTCAGACACTAGAAGGAGAATCCTCCTCCCCTGAAATCACATTCAGCAAACACAGTTTCTAACCTAATCTGTAATGGCTTTCTTGAGTTCAACATTTTTTTAAAGACAAGCAGGCCTATCTATCTGCAGTCATGTCAAGGCTGTGAGTGAAGAGAGAAATAGGCAGCTGGATAATTTTTAAATTCTAAACCCACGGTGTGCCTCCTAGGGCTCAGTGGGAAACACTAGCTCCCCTCTGGCTGCACACTGTGCACACACATACACACACACACACACACACACACACTCAGTGGTTCTCAGGCCGCTGAGTCTGAGCTCATCTTCTCTATAGAAAATCCCCTCAAGTTGTCCCGCTGTAGGCTCAAAGAAGAAAGGATTGCTTCTGAGTTTTGATTACAAAATCCCCAGTTCGGTGGGAAGTCTGCCTCCAAAGCACTTCGTGGGTTGCAAAGATCTACCTAGCTCTAGGCATGCTGCCTCAGCAGGAGTCAGGGAGAAAAGATGGGGGGCGGGGGAGGGACTAGGGGCTATATAGCCTTGGATGTGCTCCCCTCCTGCTTGAACATAAACTTTGCACTCTTGGTGGTGCTGGGGTACCGGCCTCAGGCCCTCACAGGCAGTGCCTTCCTGAAATCCACCCCTTAGGAAAAGCCCTTGAGGGGAAGCAGGTTCTCCAGGGGTGGGCAGCAGCAATCAGGATCACCTGGCACCACTGGACGGGAGATGAATGCGGCTTGGGCTACCTCCCCCCAGACGGAGGAACCTTCCCTTGGGAAAGGGTCATCTCCAGGCAGAACAGAGGAATCAAGAACTTGGAGGGCCGGGAAGGAAGAGGGGGCAAGGCTGAGGCTGATACCGGGGAGAGTGGGGTTTACAAAAAGGACAAGAAAGAAAAACACAGAGCCAAGCAGACAAGAGAGAGAAGCATCCATAAGGGAGAGTCTGGGAGAAGGGAACTACTATGGTCTTGACCCTGAAACTCAATTTCGGAACCCCCAAAGCTATCCATTTCTATTCAGTGCAGCACAGGCGCATGAACCAAGGCAAGAGGGCGCCGCAGTAGAACCCACCACTGGCTCCCCAAGTCCCGATCCTCCTATCTTTGCAATCGCCCCCCACCCTGACCCCAGCTCAGCACCCCCCCCCCCACTGCCCAGCGGCAGGGGTGAGGGGGGCGGCCGATCTTCTCCTCCAGGGCTCAGAATCAAGCCTCTCAGCTAGGAGTCCCCACTGGGAGGGGGGTCGCAGGAGGGAGAGCGGGCTAGGGAGGAGGCAGGGAAAGCAATTTGGTTGTGCAGTTCGCATGAGCTCATCTCAGGGCTGAGAGGAGGGCGGCTGGAGCGGCAGAGAAAACTGGAGCCAAATGCAATTTAGAGCCATCCACCACGTGGGGGGGGGGGATCAAGTCACTGTGCCCCACCTTGGGAGGGTCCCCCTGCCCTTCCCCCCCCCCCCCAGGATCTCTACAGGTCAGAAACCCAACCCGAAGGAAAGAGGCAACACGAATGTCCCGATCTAGGTTAAAATAATAATAATATCAAGCCCTCAATGGAAGAAGTGACGGAGGCTAAGGTCTTCTGGAAATGTTTCCAAGGAGTGGAGGTTTCCCAGGTGCCTTTGGCGTGGGGAGCCGCCGGAGGAGGAGGGGGGCTTGGGAAATACCCAGTTCCAAAATATCTTTTCATCTGGTTTTCCACGGTCCAGGCACCCAGCCTGCTCTCCCTCCCCGGAAGCCTAGAGGCACTTATTTTATAAGCCTGTTTGCACACCATATTTCACTCTAATGCAAACCTATTTAAATCATCGCCTTGTTTTTCGCAGATTGCTTCTGGTAAATGGGGTCATAAATCCCTGGTGTCAGGTAGAAAGGAGTGGAGCTTGGGGGAGTGGGGTAGGGGTGTGTGGTGGGGGAAGAGATGCAAGAGGAACCAACTAGAAGCTGGGAAAGAAGGGCGCCTTGGGTGGGGTGGGAGGAATTGGGCAGGATTTCCAGGGTGGAAATGCGGACCAGGAAGCTGGCTGATCCGAACTCGGGGTACCCCTCCCCGGGAGTGTACACCAGCCTTAAAGACCATCTGGGGAGCCACACCAGGGGAGGGAAAAGGGGGAGAAAATACAACCCTACCTGGAAAAGCCTCAAGATGTTGGCTACCATGATGGAGACGGAACTCCCCGAAGCCCCGATCACTCCAACTACTTTCTCCGGCTTGACGAAAACCGGGGGTTCGCCGTTGGTGCAGCGCACATCGGAGGTGTCCTTCTGGATGAGCGCCTGGACGAAAGTGAGCGACTGTTCGAGCGCATAAGTGTCCCTGGAACAAGTGTCCAGGATCCGCGCGCCCAGCGTCACGTTGGGCAGCAGGTTGGGATCGCTGTTGATCTGATCCAGGGCGTACAGCATCGCTTCCAGCCTGTGGATCCCGTTCTCCCTCTTGATGTCCCCGCAGGGCACTCCGCTGGGACCCTTGGCGTGCACGGGGAACAGCCCCCCGAGGGTGACGTCCCCCTCGATCCGGATGGAGTGCGGGGCGTACATCTCCTGGCCGCGCGCCGCCGCCGCCAGCGCGCACAGCAGCACCTCCAGGACGCAGCAGGGGAAGTTCATCAAAGTCAGGACGCGGAGCTGGACCATGCTGCCCGGGCTGCGGCTGCGGTGGCGGCAGCAGCGGCCCCGGGAAGGGGACCTGTGAGCTCGCTTAGGTCCGGGACTCCTGGAGGTGAGCTCTTTCTAGGGGGAAGCCCGGGGTGGGACTTTGTGCCGTGCAAGATGGAGGGGGGGGAGGGAGGTACCCGAGGAGGGGCAGCTGGAGAGAGGGCGTGTGTGATGGGGTCCCCCTCCGTAGCTCCTGCCAGCCTGGGGCGCCTGAGCGATCTTGGTTCGGTTCCCCCCCTCGGGCCAGCGCACGGCGCGCTTGCTCGCTGGCGCGCGGGCGCTGCTCAGCTCGCTGGGGCTCGCCAAACCAGCCCAGCACTGGGGAGAGGGCAGGGATTGCTATCGCTTTAAATGGTCGTTCGGCTCCCTCTCCTCCTCCTCCTACTCCCTCCCTCCCGCCCTCCCTCCCTCCCGCCCGCCCTCCACCCCTCCTAGCTCCCAGGCTGGAGCTCGCTCTCTCTCTCTCCCTCTCTCTCTCTCAGGCTCTCCCCACCCTAGCCAGCACCGCCCTCCCCACTGGTTTGCATCATCACGCAAGGAGGGGCTGCGTGCTGAGGTTGGGGGGGGAGGGCCGGGTGGGCGCCTGGGAAGGGGGGCAGGTGCCCCCCCCTGCCCTCCCCACCTCCTCCGCAGGGGGAGTTTCGTTGTCCCCAGGGGATCTAGGGATGTCGGGTTACCAAGCGGGGCTGCGGGGGCAGCACAGTTAAGGAGGAAGCCTCCGCTCAGCCTCCACCCACACCCGCGTTCTGGGTACCAGCGGCACCAACCCGGGGATGATGTCTAGGGCCGGCTGTTCCCCTTCTTCAAATGCAGAGCTCTCGGGCCCACAGTTCTGGGGATCCCAGCTAGGGGGGCTGGGGGGGGGGGGAAAGGAGCTGGAGGGAACTGGGAGGTGAAGAGACTTGGGGAAACCCCAGTCTTCCTGACTGGCACATCCACCTGTGTTTTTTTTTTTTTAATGACGAAAAGCGTGTGCTACATAGGACACGGGGGTCCCTGAGTCCTTGACTCTAAAAACATCTTTTGCCCTCTGAGTATCTCGTGGGGGGCCAGGCACCTAGGCTAGCCTGTAGGAAGAAAGCCCAGGCCTCTTTGAAAACGTCCAAGCAAGGATTCCATCCTTGATCTTTGGGGACTAAATTGGCCTGGGACCTCCCTCCCCCCCTCCCCCCACCAAGACTGTGGTCGAAAGCTCAGAGACATCCCTTTTTCCTTTCTTTTGTCACCAGAGATGAAAACTCTGCAGCTGGCACTTTCTTCTGTAACTAGCAGGGACAGGTGGAAGGCTCCCTCCTATCTATTTCCAGAAAGGATTCTGGGCTCCTGACACGTTTCCCCCCCAACACCCAGAGGAAGCAGCAAGGAAGAGATGATGGGTGTGGGGGGGGGGGTCTCAGAAATCTCTCCCTGGATCTTTCTTTTTCTTTGCTCTGAACTTTCTGGGGCAAAGGCAGGATGTGAAGGCAGAGGGCCTGGCCATTAGGAAGCTCTTCTTGGAAGGGACTAAGGTTCTGCCAGCCCTGTCCAAACTGAGCTCCTTAAAGCAACAAGTGGCCCCGATTCCAACCTAGGGAAATTTAATGTTTCTCCTGGAAGTCGGTTCAACTCTCGGTGAGGCTTTTTGGCCTTAGAGGGTGGAGACAAAACCAGAGACAAGGGTCAGTCCTTCCATCCTGTTGTATGGCCCCACCACGTGCTGGAATGCTGCATAGTGTCTGCCAGCAACTACCTGTGCGCCTTTGGCATTTCTGTTCTCCCGTCTGGGTTTTACTTTGTCCCATCTGGAAAATGATGAGATTGAATTGGATCCTCTCCAAGGCATCTTTTTGCTCTCAAGTCTTATTAAAATAGCCCATGTCCCTTCCACCATGTTCTTTTTGGTCCAAGGCTTTAAATCCGTATAGGCGACTGGCTCAAGATGTTCAAAGATCACCAACAATCCTTGATATACATATATACATATATATATATATATATATATATATGAAACCATCTTCCTATACTATCATAGGCACAGTAATCCCAGCAACTGTCCCTTCTAGCTAAAGTGCTGAGTTCAAGGATGCTAACAGAACCCCGGCAGAGTCATGGAGGCTCATCCTCAGCCCTTTGAGGGCAGAGGGGGTGAAGAACAGACCACCTGGGCCATACCAACAGAGCTCTCCTGGAATCACACGAAAGGGGCCCCTTGGTTCAATGGACTCTATGTTTCTCTTTGGGAAATCTGCTCTGCTCCTCTGATTTTGTAGGAACAAGATTGTTGCTGTCACCATTCACAGAACCATGCTGTAATTCATAGCCAACTCAACTCTCATACCCAATGTGGATATCCATCATCTTCAGATATGATGTCTGAACTTTGTCCAAACTCGCACAACCTTATGCCACAGTGGTCCTTCCTTCTTCCTGCTGACCCTGATTCATCCTGCTGTTCCATATTAATGGAGATATTTGAATCTCAAAGTAAGAGAGAGAGAGAGAGGAAAAAACCAATATAGATGGAGAGAGACACCAACTGACAGACAAACCAATAGGTTGGGCTTTCAGTAAAACATTTGAGCTCCTGGATAGAAGTCACTGGAAGGACTGCCTTGTACTCTCCTAGTTCCGTTTTCCTTCTATCACTTGAATTCTAAATTACCCACTTCTGACTGGGCGATTTTAATATATTTGATCAAAAGAGGGGGAGGTCTAGAAGCAGATATCCTACTGAGGTAGCGTCTGCTAATTTGGAAGGGGAAAAGGAAATAAACAACAGAAAGGCATATTTGGGGACAAAAGCCATAAAATACTACATTCACTCATTTATTCATTTACTTACATATGTATTCATTTAGTGAGGCTTTAACTAACATGATTTTTTAAAAGAATATTATCTAGTAGGGACTGGAGGTGTGTCTCAAGTAATAGAACACTAGCCTTGAGTAAAAAAGCCAAGGAAGGAAACATGAGCACTCAGGTTCAAGTCCTAGGACCAACACACACACACACACACACACACACACACACACACACCAGTACCTTAGGTAATCTTTAACAGACTTATTATCCTTATTTTATTTTTAAAGTTCAGGTTGTGTTTTAGGAAACTGGTGACCAAAACCATCAGCGAGGTAATAAGTAATGCCATGTGATTTTTCACCTGTTGTGGTCTTGTGTTTTTCTTTCCCATCCTCATTTCATACTGGCCATTGCTCGCTCAATGTTTCTTGGCTGGCAGTTGAATGCTGCCGTTTGCTGAGTTCTGTCTGCTCTGCTCAATCTCCCCTAACATCTGGCAGCCGCCATTATCTTCCTTGTATTGCAGCCATTTGTGTGCCTGTCTCATTTTCCTTGCTCCATTCTGAGATCCTGTAGGGCAAGGGCTGGGTATTATTTATCTTTTTACCCAGGGCAGTGTTTCCGATGAGATGATGTTATGTGTCTAAGAAGCACTCATGTGTTGAGGCAATCGGAGCTGGTTCTGACATTCTGCCCAGGTTTTCTCTGACAGTGACCCACACCTAAAGTAGGCAGAGCAGCAATGGTGGCTGATCAATGACTGGCCTTTTAGCTCATGCAGAGTTTCTGGAATTAAAGGATAATTAATGTGGTCTGAAATATTTGGCTTTCAAAAAAGTTCCAAGCCTGGGAGAGTCCAGACTCAAGGCATGTGATCCACTTTCACGAAAGCTTGGCTTGGTCAATGTGTGGAGTCCAGGCCTCGTTCCTGGACCAGTAACTGTGGTCACTGCCTTGGCGGACGGATGGCAGAGGCACAGGGCTCTTTTTCCTCTAGCCAGCGACTAGCACCCCATGAACTACCTCGAAAGCAAAATCAATCCGTTACCAGAGTAACTAGAAAGTGATGCTGAGCTTACACAATCATCATCCATTCAGGACTTATAGAACCACATTCATCTTTATGTATTAATCCAGTCACTTCACAGATGGCATGGGGTTCCCGTCCTCCTCTTCTTCCCTCCTCCTCCTCCTCCTTCTCTTCCTCCTCACTTTATTTTTCTTTTCTTTTTGAAAATATGAACTGAAAACCTCTGTGCAAGCCTGGCTCACTAAGGCAGTCTGGTGTTAGGTTTGAATGGAGACTCTGATTTCAGGCACACAAATCACACATTATAAATTGTGTTCCCAAGCTTGGTTCTATTTAAGGAGTCATCTATCATCCATCTTTACTCAGGGCTTCACAAACATGTCTAACCAAAGTTAAGATCTCAGCCCTAACTCCAATTCTTAGGATTTTTGCTTTCTTAGGTCAACTTAGTACCATTTATGTCCTTTATTCTTCCATTGCCCATTATCTTCTGCAGGATATGCTTCTATTTCCCCCTGTACTTATTTAAATCTAATTTGTAATGTGCAATGCAGTCCTGGAGGATTGCTACTAATTCTGCTAATGCACTCTATTGTATTCTTCCTGCAGGGACTCAGCCATTACTTTGAAAGACAAAATCTGGGGTAGGGTAGGAGGGGTGGGTAGGAATGTTAAAAGGGGTGATAATGATCAAGAGGCACTGTGTTCCTATACTGCTCTGTTGAATGGCAATTCCTTTGCACAACTACTTAAAGAAAATAATGTATATACATATAGAAAGAAAGAAAGAAAGAAAGAAAGAAAGAAAGAAAGAAAGAAAGAAAGAAAGGAAGAAAGAAAGAAAGGAAAAAGAAGGAAAGAAAAGAAGGAAAGGAAGAAAGAGAACATCTCACATTTACATCACACTAGGAGTTCGAGTCATTTTTTTCCTGTGAAAGAGAAAGAATATTCCACTTTAGGCTACACCTTTACATAATATTAATTTGTGTTGCAAATTTAGTTGTGTTGCACCCCTGATGCACAGATAATCAGAGCTCAGAGCCTGTGAAGGGTGTTTTGGGACTGGACCCTCTGTTTCTAGTAGTTCTTTTAGAGAGGCAAACCATCAGCACACAGGGCAAAGGTGATAGGAATTCCCAAAAGCATTTCCTGGGCTCTTGCCCAGTGG